GATAAATCTAAAACAGAGTGACTTAGAACTATTCCTTTTCTTCCAAAAGACAAGCATTACAAGTTCCACTAAATAAGTCAGTCTTCTCTAAAGAAGGTGGCTTTTGGATATTAAATGCTTGTAGGCTTTTAAAATTAATAACGAAACAGTTTTAAGTGAGGTTAACCCCAATCACACCACTTTAATTGCTGTCAGCAACTTTATTCTCCCAAGTACTTAAATAATACACAAATACGCCTATGATGATGATCTGTATCTACAAAAGATGAAGATTTACACTTATTTGGCCAGAAATACTTTTGAAACAGTGTGGAAAGTGGACAGGATATTTGGAAGAACAAAGCCATGTATCCCTTTCAGAGATAAGAGAACCAAGGGGTTTCAAAAGAATCAGCAGATGGGAGGTGGAGTTTGTCTTCTGCACTATTTCTACTTCTGATATTGTTTTGGATAAAGATCTATGCTTCTCGAGTGTGTCATTTATATTAATTCAGATAAACATCCTGCTCAGTAATATGGAAGAAACTTATAGCCACAGAGTAAACAATGACGGCCAACTATAGACAATGAATGGACCATGTGAGGTCCAGGAGCAGAGTTTTGCATTCAGTATCTATGCTTAGGCCCCGACCTTCTGTGAGAAGCCTGTATCTGAAATAGCCCTCCTAGTTCTAATCCATGAATACTGGAATTTCTCCCATTAATCTGCATTATCAGGTCAAATGTATTTAGTCCCATACCCAAAACATAAAAGCCAGCATGTAAATTCATATAACATTAACACATTTAGAGGCCATTTGTAGCACGGCATAATTGCGACATCCACATTTTTAATCCATGCAATCATAAATTCCGTAACTTAAGTTTCATTATTACAAAAAGATTGAAAAAGCCTGGGCAGTATCACAAATAGGATGGCAGTTGCTTTGACCCAACTCATTCCTACCATTGACAATACTTGTAAAGTGATTTCAAAACAAAGATAGAGCAAAGCTCACCTGAACCCTCAGCCAATCCCTGGGATTATTCTAGCTCCAAATTAAGAAGAGGTTATAAACAGAACCTTCTAGAATTATATGAAACACCAATGGATTATGGCACTTCCACATCTTTCTCTTTTTTCCTGTGCTACCAAATGTTATAATCCCACTGAACATCTTATAATTTTCATGCTTTATTGTGAAATACATTTTCTTCTCATTCAGAGAAGAAACCCTTGTTCAAAACCCTTTATGCCAAAAGAAGATAGAAAATTCATGAATATAGGCTGACTAATAAGACTATTTGATCTTTTGCAGATGTCATAAATGTAATATTTTACCTAATGCCTTCACAATCCTAAATTCACTAAGGGAGGAAAGGAAAGATTGTATGAAACAGTCAAAAGTATTTACAAATGAAAATGAGTCTAAAGTTGCTACAGGTTTTTCTTCATGGAACTGTTGCCTCTTTACCTGTGTTATATTTCCAAATGTTTACTGCAGCTTAGAAACATATGCTCCCGAGTCAGTGACTAAAAATCCCACTTTTATTTTTGGAAGCTTTAATCCTACCAATTTGAAACAGACGCTATGATAAGATACATTTATAAATTCTGCAGTGAGCATATGTTTTTTTTCTCAGTATTAAGGACACCTTTTTCTTTAGCTAGCAAAAAATCCTTCTATCAAAATTTTGACATCAAATATTTTTATGCCTTTACTACACACAACAGCAATTCTTTTAGGAAATATCATTAAATATAAATCAACTCAGATAATATTTAAGTATATAATAATGTTAACAATCCTTTGCAAAGCTATGACTACAATTAAATGGCCTTGAGCACAACTTCCAATACAATATCTAGTTTTCCTTTTTACAATCAAGGTCTCAGGCTCACATTCAATCTCCGTTGAACATCTACAATTAGTCAGGGCACTGAGGATGAAGTACTAGTTATACAAATTGTCTTCTATATAATATATTCTTAGAATGCAACCTAGACCTGTACAAAAATAAAATGTGAAGGTCGGGACCAAATCTTTGCATTTCAACTATCCTCATTTGTTTTCATGTATGGCAAAAAGATACTCCTTCAGTAAAGGCTACTTAATGATAGTATGTTTCTAAACTAGTAGATAGCATGTTTATAAAATGATAGCATAGTTTCCATCATATGTACATTGAACAAAAAATACTCATTATTATGAAATAAGCTATAATTTTAATTTCATTGAAAAAAGAAGAAGAAAATGAGTGTTATTCCAGACACTAATTCTACTCTGAGAAGAAGTAAAGCAATGTGTTTAAGGTTTGGATATATGAAGAAAAACATGTTAATAAATAAGTTCTATTCTTTTTTACTTTGAATATACTGTATTTTACACTATCTATTACAATGTGAATTTTATATATGCTTTTCACCCATTGAAATGAAACTTATACAATGCCTTTACTTGATAATAACTTGGTGATTCCATAGTTTTAAGACTATTTGGTCGCTGTGTGTTTGTTGATATCACATATCAAAAAGAAACAGAGGAAAGTCAGTGCATCCCCAGTGTCATTCCTGGCCACCTCACATGTCTCATTTGTGAATAGGTAGTATTCAATGCAAATCAGTGATGACATTTTCTCTGAGAATGCAAAAGATATCTTCTCTAAGTAGATTTAAGAAAATGTAGGAGATAGAAAAGCATAAGTGTTGAATATGAGAGCAGCTAATTTAAATGTAAAAATTACCCCTTATTTGCAGTGTCAGTCTCTCTTCTCTCAATTCCCAAAGGAAATGCGTGGCCCAACTGACAGAATGGTGATTGGTCTGGATTTATAGAATATTGGAATGGATCTTTGGACTGTTGTCTCACTGCCTCCTCCCTGCACCCTATAATCCCGATGTCCACTTCAAACCATTCTGCTTGACTTCTGCCAGATTCACATTCCTAGAATACCAGTACAGCATAGTGGAAATAGCGCTGGAGCCAGAAATACATCTGAAATTCTGGTTCCCTCACTATCTTTATCTGTGGCTTTCAGCAAATCATTGAACATTTCTGAACATCAGGTTCCTTCATGTGCAAAATGAAAATAATGTGTAAAATATTGTTCATTTTATTGCATAGTTATAAAAATTGTGGATATGTATGTAAATCATCTTGCATGCAGCAACTGCTATTATGTATTGGCAAAATGATGATGATGATGGTGATGGTAATGATGATGAAAAGAGGCACAGAAACTCCATCTCTTTTCAGAAACTTGCAATTGGACCCTTTGTATGATATGTAAAGACCAAATTTTTCTGTGTGAAATGTTAAGATGCTCTATAAATTTTTCCTGCTCTATGTATTGAGTACAATGTCTGCTACTCACAAAGGCATATTTTTTCTGCTCCAATCAATGAATTACTCACCGTTCTTTTGTGCTATGTGCTAATTCATGTTCAAAACCCTTTTTGCCAATTACTTGTTCAAAGTAGAGTATTCCTCTTGCTTTCAGCACCTATCCAAGTTCTACTAGTTTTTCAACACTCAGTTCAAGAAGTTGAACTTTTCTTTAAAGGCTCTGGCATCTCTTTAGGACTGATATACCTGCTAAAAAGGGAATTTCTGAATATTTTGGCATTATGGCAGAATTCAATTGGTCTTGTAATATCAGCATAAGAGATATGATGACCTGAGATCATTTTTTGTATTTTAAGAATTACAGCCATAGTTTTGTGGCTCTAATAATTAGATAAAACAATCATAAATTATTTTGAAGCCACGCCCATAGTGAGGCCCAAAAACTATGTCCCAGTGATCAAGCAATTATTGACTCCAATGATAACATATGAAGTATGCAAAAGAGAGACAATGAAATGATCTATGATTTCATAAGAACATATGAGATTTTGGAAAATAAAGCAATTCACATAAAGCATTTTTCTGAATATATTCAAATACATCACACAAACCTACATAGATACTGTGTCACTAACTTATAAATATTTCTCTCTAATTTATTGTTTTCATTAAAATATGAAATAGAATTCAGGAATATTTACTGGATATATAAGAATATTTATTGTCAATAACATATTTTACTAACAAGAGAATATTTACTCAAAAGTTGTAATAACACTATTTCCCACAAAAATGATAGCAAAAACACATTCACATTATTTTAGAAAACAGAAAAGCTGGCATTGATGTAAATAAGAACATCAATAAATACTTTATATATTTTGGTGCCTATGTTACTGACATATTTCTAATTACATTTTTAAAGAATCTTTCCTATATTGAATAAATGTACCCACTTGACACTCAATTGATAATTTATCTTTGCAGAAAACATAAGCAAATGCTTCTCGATGGTTTCCAGAGATTTTTTTCAGTTTTACAATTTATTTCTATATAACTAAACATCATTGTTATTATGCACAGGATTTTATTAGTTTATTCTATATCCCTATCTCCTCCACATTATACACGTAACATGTAAAGAAATCAATATTCATGCTAAGTTTGAAATATACTTTCCATTAATGAATACAATAATTTAGCATGAAGACTCAACAAATGAAAAGAACTCAAGGTACATGAGGCATAGATAGAAAGGTTTTCATAACACTTTTACTTTTTTACTGTAAGAATATAGATTCCTTCAAACACAATGACTAATTCACATTCATTTGGAACTATGAAACAAAATTTTAATATCAACATACACTATTGCTGTCTAAATGTAAAGTTGAAATTCTTACCTGAGTTTGGCTTAGTATACAGTTATTTTTTAAAGACAGGAAATGTATGACAAATTGTCAGGATAATAACACCCACAGTGGAAAAATGAAAGGGGAAAGGAAGAAATCACTTTAAAAAGAAACTCCAAATCCTTCTGCTTCCCAGCTCTACAGTAGTTTTGCTCTGCATCTTGTAAGCAACTGTCTTTGCTCCGAGAACAACACATGCTCTGCCTCAGCAGGAAAATATAAAAATTAAATAGAAAACCACAAGGTTATTAAACACTCTTACCCTCTGGGCTTGCTGGGCTGCTCCAGCGTCTCAGTTGCAGCCACATGTGTAAACAACAGAATTTCCTGCATCCTTTTCTCATCTGTACAGTTCTGGAGTCCTAGCCAACAGGATTATTTCCAGCATTAAGGGCACTCCACACAAACTCAAAAAAGATTCCCATTGGTTGTGAAATTTTATTGAAACCACTACCACAACCCCCTCTTTGGATCACCATTGAGCCAACCAAAATAAAATCATTTTTAATGTTCCCTAAGTATGGTTATCCAAAGCTTTCCATGCAAGCATTTGAAACCTGTACTGTGGATGAAAAAGAAAAAGACACCCACGCCTTCATCCCCAAGTGTACTTAATGTTTAATTACAACAGTATAACTTGTAATAATAATAGAAAAAACTAAAATAGCAAAGCAAAATAAAAGCCTAAAAAGTACCTATCTGCAAAATATTTAAAATAATTATACTGCAGATTACAAGAACAATATAAAATATTCATCCAATCTGATTTGCATTAGATTGCACAAAATCAAAAGCAAAAGAAATCATATTTAATAAAAGATTTGAGTATACAAATTATGAAACAAGAACTGTATATCAAAACCCTTGATCGTGGTCACATTGGCAGGAATGTGAGCTGTAGTCCCTGGGGTGCCCAGTGAAAGCTCCCTGGCTTTTTCCCCTTTCCCTGGGGAAAAAGAATATGAAGTAGCTTTCCAGTGACATGACTCGGCTGTCAGGAAGTGTTCTGATGGGGGTTGTCGGGGGAGGTCAAAGACCGCATAAAAGAGAGCTTCTGTGGTTGAAACTAGCAGTAAAAAATGTCCAAAGTAGAAAAGAAAAAGTCAAAAGGTAACAGGATTGACTTGCTCCTTGTAAGTAGCACAAAAACAACATGTGAAATGTAGGCAATAATGTCTTTGAATTGTTTTATTTTTCACCCTTCCCTAATTTGTAGGCTTATTCTGGTGTTATTGTCTATCTCTACTTAATATTCTTTTCCCACTTACTTTCTGATGCAATGGAAAAGGTGGCCAGCTTCCTATATAAAGCCAACTGACCCATTCGAGCTAAACTTAATCATGATTCTCGCTCCTCTATCTTTGAACATTCCCTCTTGTCCGGATTTTCCCCACGAGATGTTAAATCCCATACATTCCTTGGTCAATTTCATGTATGCCGATGAACTTTACTTTCAATTCAGTCATTTTCACTTTCAGGTACCATTCCTTCCATCATGGCCAAATGATTGAAAGTTCTCCAGCCAAGAATTTTATTTAGTCTTGCATCCATCTGATTTTAATTCATCAAAGTGACTACACACACATACACACACACACACACACACATGCATGCACATAAATATTCTATTTATTTTTAATTTTTCCAATTCACCTCAATCCTTCTTCTAGTTGACATCTACACAGCCTTTCATACTGTTCACAACCCTGCCCACATGAAGACATCTCTTATCTTGGCACAACACTCTCCCGGTTTTCCTCTTGACCTCTTTTGCTGGCTCTTCTCGTCCTCTTTGATGATGCCTCATCCTCCATCCATCCATTGGTGCGTGTCACGTATGTTCTTAGATAAATTTACATAAAAAAGTGTATATTCTGTCTCTGGATGATGCCACCCATCCTCATAGTTTCAATTACCATCTTTCTTTTTGGATGGCTCCCAAATATCTGCTTTTAGACCCAACGACTGTCTGAATTTTCAGTACTTATACTTGTCAGCCCACTATTCCCCTCACCCAGAAAATGACACAGATACAGCATCAGCTTGTCTAAACTGAAATCATCGTCTCTCGATGGACCTGCTATGTTATCTATATAACTGTCAACCCAGTTTGACAGTTTCTCAAAGAAAAATCCTGGAAGTCACCCTTGACTCCTTCTACTAGTTCCTTTTCATTGTACTTCAATAATTTGCCCAGTCTTCTTTTTTGTTTTTTTTGTTTGTTTGTTTTGTTTTTTTAATTTTTTTAAATTTTTTTTTAAATTATACTTTAAGTTCTAGGATACATGTGCATAACGTGCAGGTTTGTTACATATGTATACTTGTGCCATGTTGGTGTGCTGCACCCATCAACTCGTCCACCCATCAACTCATCATTTACATCAGGTATAACTCCCAATGCAATCCCTCCCCCCTCCCCCCTCCCCGTGATAGGCCCCGGTGTGTGATGTTCCCCTTCCCGAGTCCAAGTGATCTCATTGTTCAGTTCCCACCTATGAGTGAGAACATGCGGTGTTTGGTTTTCTGTTCTTGCGATAGTTTGCTGAGAATGATGGTTTCCAGCTTCATCCATGTCCCTACAAAGGACACAAACTCATCCTTTTTTATGGCTGCATAGTATTCCATGGTGTATATGTGCCACATTGTCTTAATCCAGTCTTTCACTGATGGACATGTGGGTTGATTCCAAGTCTTTGCTATTGTGAATAGTGCCGCAATAAACATATGTGTGCATGTGTCTTTATAGCAGCATGATTTATAATCCTTTGGGTATATACCCAGTAATGGGATGGCTGGGTCATATGGTACTTCTAGTTCTAGATCCTTGAGGAATCGCCATACTGTTTTCCATAATGGTTGAACTAGTTTACAGTCCCACCAACAGTGTAAAAGTGTTCCTATTTCTCCACATCCTCTCCAGCACCTGTTGTGTCCTGACTTTTTAATGATTGGCATTCTAACTGGTGTGAGATGGTATCTCATTGTGGTTTTGATTTGCATTTCTCTGATGGCCAGTGATGATGAGCATTTTTTCATGTGTCTGTTGGCTGTATGAATGTCTTCTTTTGAGAAATGTCTGTTAATATCCTTTGCCCACTTTTTGATGGGCCAGTCTTCTTTTCTCACTGCCACTACTCTGGTTCAGACAACCATCATGATCTTTCTAGATCACTGCAGTGTCTCTCTGCCTCTTAAATTGTCTCTCTTCTCCCAGCCTTCTGCTCCATCTCTAAAAAGATACAGTAGTCTATTTCCGGTACTTATGCACTTGAAGTCCCTGAAGGATTTTTAATCTTTTGTCAACTCCCTTTTTTGTAATACATTGGCTTTTCTTGGTTTCTAAAACACAACTTTCCTAGATTATTTTTTCACCTTTCTGACCATGTCATATTTTTATCTCCTCTCTAATTACTTTTCTCTCCTTTCAACAGTGGAACACCTTCAAGAAGCCATCACTGGTCCTATTCTTATTTCACATTTCTGTCTAGGTGAGCACATCTATTTTTGAGGCTTCTTTTGTCACACATATTTGGTGAGTTGAATTGTGTCCTCTAAGAAGATACGTTGAAATCCTAACTCCCTGTACCTATGAAGATGATTATTTGGAAATATGGTCTTTGAAAATGTAATCAAGTTACACTGAGGCCATACTGAGTGAAGGGGAACCATAATCCAAGGACTGGTAGATTCATAAAAAGAGGGAAATGTAGACAAAACACACAGAGGAGAATGCTATGGGAGAGACAGAGACAGCAATTGGAGTGATATGTCTACAAACCAAGGATTGCCAACAATCACCAGAATTAGGAGAGTCAAAAAAGGGTTCTCCCCTAGTGCTTTCAGAAAGAGTATTGCTGGTTGACACTTTGATTTTGGACTTCTGTCCTTCAGAACTATGAGATCAATTGTTTTAAGTGACAAATGTGTGATATTTGTTACAGCAGCCCTAGTAAACCAATAGACATACAATTCTGAAATATATATGGTCTTTCCTTAATAGTTTCTAAAGCTTCAGATCTGTATTTCCAAAGTCTAATGAAATATTCACTAGGAGCCATTCAAATCTTTCAATAATCTCCAATCCTCCAAGCTCTTATATATCTTCCAAATACTCTACTGTACCTTGTAATCTCAATCTTAAATAAAAACACTGCCACCCATCGAGTCTTTCAATCTAGAAACCTCTTTGCTATTCCTAAGTTCTTATTCTTCTTCACCATTCAAATTTAATAACTCATCTTTACATTAAAACCTGAAACCTCTCTCTTCACTTTATGTCCTTCTATATCTTTGCATTTGTTTTTGTCTTACCACAACAATTTTTTTTTTACTGGCAAGTTTACAAATTACTGAGAGGCAAAACTTGACTATATATGGAGGGTACTCTTATTTACAGCTTTCTCATGTGAAGGCTCTTTTTGCCCTACACAGGCCACATCCATTAGGGTCAGAAAGTGGAGAAGGTGTCCTACTTCATCCTTATTGCCAAGTCTGGCTCACAAATTATTTGTTGATTGATAGCATGGGACCTCTGAGAATAGAAAACAAAATTACCTATGGTCTCCATCCTAGTTTCAAAGGGTACATTGACACCATGGTTATAATACCTCTGTGCACACACACCTCCATTATCCTAGCACTCCATATCCTATAACAATCACTTGGGGGCATATGAAAAAGAAATGAGAAAAATTCAGCTGTGAGGTTTCCAAAATTTGTTGGCAAGTTCATGATGTCTTGAGGTACTCAGCACACATCAATGAAGGCTATTTTTTTTGGATTCCAGTTTCATTCTATATATTAGATCCACCCTGTGGGTTCTGATATTTACCTACTGAGTATCCTTTCTCCCCTTCCTCCCTACAAAACATTTGTTTATTTTTGTTTGGAGCACAATGTGGTCAATTTTTTTGAAGCCTGTGTTAACAAGCCTCCCATACAAATATACTTGGCTGTGTGGCGCAGTTTTGCCAATGAAACATAAGTGGAAACCTAATGGGTTTAGAAAAGTTTTGTATTTCTAATGCCAGTCTGTTGACTCCTTTCTCCTTTTTCATTCCTTGAACAAGACAAGGAGGCTGGAGACGGGGAAGCTGTTCTTAAATGATAATAAGCTCCTGAAGTCATGATTCAGATGCAAGCTACACATTAAGAACAGAAGAAAAACTCTGAGCTTTAATCAACCTCATGAGAGATTTCAGTGATGGGAGGAAAAGAGAACTTAATCTGGTGAAACCACTGTCATCAGGTTTCTCCTATGTCATTATTTATTAGATTGGGAGTTAGAGGCCAATGGAAAATTGTAATAGTATCTAGCTGGAAACACAATGGAGAATAAATATTAATCAAAACTGATTTACTCTACATTCTTATCACCTTATTGGGAGGTCCAGAAGAAATCACGAAATTGAAAACTCCTACAGCAACCTTTACTGAATGTTACATCTATCTCTCACCATCTCTGTGGGACAGTTCCTGATTCCCATAGAAAAAGTTAA